GGCTTGAACTACTAGGAACTTGTTTCAGTATCCTTCACCCAGAAAGCTGTCCTTTGAAAAATGTCAATAATGATTTGATCACTCACTTGTAAGATCGATGAAGGACAAATGTTGTATAATATGAGACTTTATGTCCATGTGTGAAAGCAATAATTGTGTATTTTGCAGTCTTCACAGTCTAACACCTAGTTCATCTGGCATCCTAACATTTCTTGTCTTTTTAAAATATTTGTTTAACATTTCTACTATTGTATAATTATATTAGCCACTTTTGGGTAGCCCTTCCCTATAATTTCTATATTTGAAAGTGACTAACATAAGTTAGTCTCTTGATTCTCACGGTATGGCAGAGATGGCAAGTTATCTCCAAATATCCAGTCTTTCCACTTTCCTTAATAAAAGAAGCCCTATATCTTCACTGACTTTCCAGCCAGCTACAGAACTCATTCCCCATCTTCCTTTAAGCTAGACATAGTCATATGACTGAGTTCTGACCAATGAAATCCGTGAAGATATATGTAGAAGTGTTGCGTGTTATTTCTGGGAAGTCTTTTCAACAGAGATGTACCACTTCTCCTTTCTACTGTCTTAAATATGGATTAAATGGCTGGAGTCCCAGCAGCCATCTTGGACCATGAATGGACCCTGAAAATGGAGACCTTTGAATAGCAACACAATGATAGAGAAAGAGCTTGGGTTCTCCTGTAACCCTATCCCAACCATAGACTACCAATCTCTCTGACTTAGCTTCCATTGTTTAGGTCCTTTGTAACTGCAACCAAACCTACTCAGAATCATACACAGATTGTATAGATCATTGTTATTTTTACCTTAAAAACTAAATTTTCTAACCAAATATTTCCTCTTTTGGTAGTAACCAAGAAGATGAAATGGCAAAAGCACTTCTTACCTTTGGCCCTTTGGTAGTCATAGTAGATGCAGTGAGCTGGCAAGATTATCTGGGAGGCATTATACAGCATCACTGCTCTAGTGGAGAAGCAAATCATGCAGTTCTCATAACTGGGTTTGATAAAACAGGTAAGTGCTGATAAGACTCAGTTGATTGCTTTCCAGCTTGGATGCTGACCGCAACATGATCACCATCCTGTAGAACGTTGAAATTTGGTTCTGCTATGGCTAAGTCCTCATAAGACCTTCACAACTTCTCAACAATCTTATAGGTGTAAATGTGCTGAGCCCAGCTTGGTCATGGAGACCCTAACCCAGTGGCACTAGAGGAATTAAAGACACACACACAAAATACAGAGTGTGGAGTGGGAAATCAGGGGTCTCAGAGCCTTCAGAGCTGAGAGCCCTGAACAGAGCTTTACCCACATATTTATTGACTGCAAGCCAATGATAAGCATTGTTTCTGTAGATTATAGGTTAACTAAAAGTATTCCTTATGGGAAATAAGGGCATGGGCTGAAATAAAGGGATGGGTCTGGCTAGTTATCTGCAGCAGGAGCATGTCCTCAAGGAACAGATTGCTCATGCTATTATTGTGGTTTAAGAATGCCTTTAAGCAGTTTCCTGCCCTGGGTTCGGCCAGGTTTTCCTTGCCCTCATTCCGGTAAACCCACAACCTTCCAGCGTGGGCGTCATGGCCATCACAAACATGTCACAGTGCTGCAGAGAGTTTGTTTATGGCCAGTTTAGGGGCCAGTTTATGGCCAGATTTGGGGGACCTGTTCCCAATATAAATGTCTTGTCAGATTCCACCTGTCAATTTTTGGGTGGCTATCTTGTTAAAATGATGATAATTTTTATCAATATAAAACTATCTGGAATATTTAGAATAATTGTTGGGAAAAGGTAAGTGCATATTATTTTATCATATGTATGTATCAGTTCTTTGTTTCTTTTTCTCATTC